CTTGACAGTTCTGACCAATCAAAAGCCATCTAGCCTGTACTGTCATCCCTGCATTGAGTGGAGAGAAAGCACTGTGGTTTTTAAATCCATAGCTTTTCCTTCTGTGACAGCATGGGATTGGTGCAGGAAGGTTTCCCTATGACAAGCCTGGGTTCACACAGGAGCAGTGGGGAAACCGCATGCAATCTGGACAATAAACGCCTTCAAATTGCTTGCTTTTCATTGAGGTGAATTTCATTGATTTCACCCACACATTTTGTACTGGCGCAAATCGCACTGCAAAGTATCGGTTTCGGGTATCTGGAGCATTTTCACGAATAGGAGTACTCATGAAAATACACAGTATCGGCACTGATACCGGTATCAGTAGTGGTGTATTCCTACTAAATAGTTTTCTTCCAATGTGACAGCCACCATTTAGAGATTTGTGTATTGCAATCATATCCCCTCTTAAGCGTCTCTTCTCTAAGCTGAATACATTTAATTTTTATAGTCTTTCCTCATAACTGAGGTCCTCCAGCCCCCTTTGTTGTCCTTCTCTGGACTCGCTCAAGGATATCCTTCTTGAGGATTGGTGACCAAAAAAATGGACTGCATACTCAAGATGTGGCCGAAACAGTGATTTGTAGTGTTAGTTTTTTAGCTTTATTTTGAGTAATGCATGATTTTTAACGCATGATAATAGTCTGCTTGCGTTGCTTATTTCAGTTTTTCATGCTGTTGCTGAGTCTGTGATCCACAAGGACCCCCAGATCCTTTTCTATTTTCATTCCTCCCAGAGGTTCTCCCCTAGCGAGTAATTTGCATGCATATTTTTTAGCTCCCAAGTGCATTACTTTACATTTTTCAATAATAAGCCTTATCTGCCATATAGCTGCTCACCCCTCTATTTTTTTAGAGGCCTTCTTGTAAAGTTGCTGTATCCTGTTGTGAAGTTATGGCACTGCTTAGATTTATATCAGCAAATATGAACATTTATATACATTACAAGTTTCATGATTGTCACATTTTTGTTTGCTTACGTAGGACAAGGGAGTGTTGGAGGTCGAGTTCCACCTTGAAGAAAGGTAAAAAAAACAATAGTTTGCTTTGAAAAAGTGTGTACACCCAATAAGGGGCAGACTAGACAACTCATGGGGCCCCGGGCAATAGGGGATCATAGGGCTCCAGTGTCCTTGCCCAAACTCAAAAAAGCCTATGAAAAAGGTACCAGGGGCATCCCATGGGGCCCCCTACTGACCCTGGGCCCTCGGGCAGTGCCCTAGTTTTCAAATGGTCAGTCCGCCCCTGCACCCAATCAGTAGAAACTGGTATATAAACTGTAATACACTGTAATTTCAAAAACTGTATATATTACTTTACCTGTACCATTAGAAAAGTTGCCCTATAAAGTATAGCCCATTTGTTAAAATACTTACCATCCTCCCTGCTTCTGTGATTTTCTTTGACAATGAATTTTATTGTAGACAGCACAACAACAAAGAAACAGTCAAAAGCAAGCTCATTGACACAAAAAAATAAGGTGTACAATTCTGGTGATGGAGGACATAACAAATGCACTGAAGTATTAACACAGAGAGAAAACGGAGTACATAAACACAATCTATAAAAGGATGGAATGAAACCTTATAAATTGCGTTAACAGTGAACAAGTAGTGACCAATGAGCTAGTAGGCAAATGCAAAGGATAGTCACCAAAGTCGCATACAGATGATAGGAAAGGCTGAGCATGGAGTCTCACTGGACTCACATTGGAGCTCTACACCAAGGACTCTCGAGAAAGTCCGACGGGTGTATAAAACATTACAGACATGGTTCTTTAGGGGTATCACAATCGGTGCATGTAACATGAAAACTGACTAAAACAAAAGGAAGAAAGAGAAGGGAGAATCAAGAATAGTAAAGATAGAGAAAGAGCTCCAGGGGATCGCACCAGGAGAGTCTTATATCGACAGGAGGGTCTGATCAAATCTAGACGGTTGAGCCACATCAATCCAGGGACGACAGATCTGCAGAAACTTAGTGTGGGTGTCCAATAGCATAGCCGTTATCCGATTTTAGTGCTTCTGTGATTTTAACTGTGTGGCTTGACTGACAAGAAAACATCCTGCCCAATTCCTTTTCCTACTATGTACGCATGCCATGTCTCAGTTGATCTGTATTCCACTGGATGGGTGGAGGTCACCATGGCTTTGGTTCATCCTTACGAATGAACAGAACTGGAGTGCATGTGTGCAGTAGTAGGAGGACACAGCCAGGATGGGTCGCATAATAAAAATCATTGTTATAAATTGACAGTGCGTTGTTACTGTCTCTCAATTTTGTGAATGTGTTGTCACCCTTCACACTGGTTTATGATGCAGGTTGAAAAAGTCTGTGCTGCACTTCCCCTTTAAATTTTAAATCTAATATAAACAACTTAATCCATTCTCCTATGCCTCCCCTTGGGATTTTAATGTAGCCAGGATTATATACCACACCATTAATTTTATGTAAAATGAACAGAAACAACTTTATTTGTACAAAACCACATTAAAACATATCACATCATAAATATACATTAATTCTGGCATAGAATCAACTTTGATGTTAAACATACTGGCACCTCCTGTGGTACTGGCAGGTTAACATTAGAATTTCTCCGTTACTAAATCCTGCTGTGTAGGCCCCAATGCATTTTGATGGCTTCAGTCAAAAACCTAGTACTCTATCTTTGATGCCACTTTCCATTATAGCTGTTCAGGTGAGCCTATTTGATGTTCCTTGTGACCCTGGACCCAATATACTGTAAGTTTATATATTAGGAATTGATTGGAACCATCTCATCTACTTTACTGACTACAAGACTTTTTTATTATAATGTATGAATAAGCTTTGCCTTCATAAGCTTTGTTCCTCCATTCTTGGTGATGGATTATCTGTGTGTCCCAAAGATTATGCTCCTGATTTGATGGTTGACCATAAGTCCAGAGTAAATACACTAGTTTTCAAAGGAAGCGCTGCTTCATGTTCATTGTGACATCATTCTTTCCACCCCTTACTTTTGCCTTCTGAAGAAGATTTTTGACTGAGCAATCGAAATGCATTGGGTTCTACACGGAAGGATTTACTAATGGAGAAATTCTAATGTTAACATGCCCCCCTGAGAAATGGGCTGTAAGAGATTAGCATTTCTGATATTTAATAAAGGATGGAAAAATATGGTTTATTATACACAGTGCTTAAGCAAAACAAGGGTGGCGATTTATAACAAAGACTGGATAATGCTATCCATTCCCCGCTGTACTCCACTCAGCTACAGACCCTGTGCCCCGGCCCACATTTTGCTTCACGTCAATAAAATGCGGGCTGCAGTGTGGAGCTGGTGGTGCCCTATGGATCTCTCCCTTAACACCGCAGAGAGAGCTCCATGATTGGAGGAGAGATGTTCATCTGATTTTGACAGGTCACATATCCAGTGTTTTTTTTTTTTTTTTTTTTTTTTGCAACAGTATCACTGCTTTATTGTCAGCACCTGTGGTAGTGAGCTGTTTTAATCCACAACTTGTGGTTCCCCAGGGTGCAGAGTCGAAGCCCCAGCCTGCTTGTTCACCAGGGCCCCTGATGGTGGGGATGGACTTGCAGCAGGCTGGGACCAGGTCGCGGCCCCCAGGTACATCCAGCTGAGGTAGAAGAGACCACTAGCGGGAGCAGGGTACAACAGGAGAAGACACAGGGAATCCAGTAGGCAAGCCGAGGTCAGGACAGGCAGAAAATAAGCAAAGTCAGGAACGAAGCCAGGGTCGGTACACAGACAATATAGGATTCACAGTAGAAACACAAGGGAGCTCCAACAACAAGACGTTGCTCAGGCAAAGTGGGCTAGACTGAGCATGTCTTATATAGACAAGCAAACTAGGAGGCGGGCCAGGAAGTGATGGAAGGGAAGGAAATAAAACCAAGGGGATAGCAGACGATGTCCACAGGTGAGCATAGACAAACACATATGTGAAGGAGTCAGGAACAGCAAGGAGGTAAGAATAAGCAAACAAGAGGTTGCAGGCTAACTTATAACATTTATAGCCACATGTCTATATGTATCAAGATCAATAACACAACAATCCGTCCCTCCCCTCATGCCAGGGTACTAGGTGTAATCCTGGACTCCCATCTGTCCTTTCAGCCCCAGATCCAATTGCTCTCCAAATCTTGTAGACTTCACCTCCGCAACATCTCCAAGATACGCCCATTCCTAACCTCGGAAACCACTAAGCAACTTATTCACTCCCTTGTTATTTCTCACCTTGACTATTGTAACTCCCTCCTCATTGGCCTACCTCATCTCAGGCTATACCCTCTTCAGTCAATCATGAATGCTGCTGGCAGACTCATCCACCTTACTAATCGTTCTGTATCAGCCACCCCTCTCTGCCAATCCCTCCACTGGCTTCCCATTGCCCAATGGATAAAATTCAAAACATTAACAATAACTTATAAAGCCATTTATAACTCTGCCCCAAATTTCAACACCAATCTTGTCTCCAAATATCACCCAAACTGTACTCTCCGCTCCCTTGTCTCCTCCTCCCATGCTCATCTCCAGGACTTCTCCAGAGCTTCCCCCATCCTCTGGAACTTTCTACCCTGATCTATCAGACTATCTCCTACTCTGCTCATTTTTAGGCGATCTCTGAAAACCTATCTCTTCAGGGAAGCGTATCCTGCCCTCAGCTAATAATGGAATCCTCTACTCTCCCTACCAGCCTATCCCCCACAGTTACTAACTTTTGTACCACTATCCCCTCCCTCCTAGATTGTAAGCTCCAAGGAGCAGGGCCCTCCTAACCCTCTTGTATTGAACTGTATTGTTGCTGTATTGTCTCCCTATATTGTAAAGCGCTGAGCAAACTATTGGCGCCATATAAATCCTGTATAATAATAATGTTGCACTTTATGTAAAGTAAGTTGCTTTGCTTTGTCACTAATGTTCTCTATGTCCTTTTCCAAACAGCCAGGAACCACCAGCTGAAATCATCACCAATGGTGTTTTAGTGGTGAGTCTGATTATTTCACATTCAGTATATGTATGTGTATATGTAGTGACTGAATAAATTGTTCCATATTAAGTAGGAGACAGTATTGTATACTGTACATATAGTGGCTAGATGAAGTGATCCCTTATGGCTATTTAAAGCTGTCAAAACAGGCAATCACCACTAAAAATAAGAATTCCTAGAAAACTGATCCGCACATTTAGGGGCAGCTTAAAGGAAAAGTACAGCCAAAGCTCTTTTGGCTGTACTTCTCCTGTGGATCACACGAGTGCAGTTCGTTCTGCACTCCTGTGACCCATTTTCAGCCAACAGCAGGCTTCAGCCCGCTGTTGGCTGACGCCACTCAGCCGGTCCAGGCTGGGGAAAGATCCCGACTTCAAAGTCAGGATCCACCCCAGAGTCTGAAGCAGTTCCTGACTTAGCCTCTCAGTGATCTGCTGAGAGCCTGAGCCAGCTGCTCCCTCCACAGCCCAGCGCTCCATTGAGCGCTGGGGGACAGAGCAGACAGGGGTGACTGTTAGTCTCACTCTCTGCTCACAGCGGCGGTGATCGCTGAGTTCTCACCCTTAGAGCCAGCGGGGGACAGAAGCACCATTGGACTGCATCTGCTTAGGTAAGTATAAATGGGGGAAAAAAATGAAACCTTTACTTCTTTTCATAGAAAAGTGCAAAGATGGCATAATGCAATGTTCTCCTTTTCACTTTAACAAGACATATGGGAGAATAAAATAAAAAAGGATAGTTAGTTTGCATAAAGCATTAGACAGGCCAGAGACGGGCAGATACAGTATCTACCAAAAATGACAGACAGACATATCTGGCCATCCTTCAATGATCCAAACCATTAAAGGGAGCCAGTCCCATATGGAAGAAAAATATATTTGAAATATATTTTAAAAATATTCTTCACAAATATATTGACATATATATTTGAAATACTACACTTTTGGCCATATTCAATATATTTCAAAATCTATTTCAATAAATATATCTATATACTGTATGTTGAAACGCGTTTTTATTACAAAATATATGAAAAATATTTTTAAAAATACATTTCAAATATACTGTATGTCTTTAAAAATACAAATCTACATTTTTTTAAATGCATTTACAAATATATGTAAAAATATATGTTAAAATGACTTTTTTATATGTAAAACAATCTGAAGAATATATTTAAAAAAAAATGTTTACAAATATTTTTCAGATATTTTGTAACATATAATAAATGCATTTCAACATGCAGTGTGTGTGTATGTGTATGTGTGTGTGTATATATATATATATATATATATATATATATATATATATATATATATATAAACACACTGTATATGGCCAAAATTGTGGTATGTCAATATATTTGGTAAGAATATTTTAAAAATATATTTCAAATATATTTTTCGTCCATGTGGGGTGAGACTCCTCAAATGACAGCATCACATGTGCATCACTAGTATCCTTCACTTTTCCCTAACCCAAAGTGAAGGTTCAAGAGCTGCTATCAGGGAAAATCTGGTAACTATATTTCTGATAGCCTGAAGCCTAGTACACACAATGAGAAAAATAGCTCTTTCGGAGCAATAGTCTGATCATCTGATTGTTAGTACACAGCTTTCAAGAGCCTATGACGACCGTTCATGCAAAATTATCCGAAGGGACAAGCAGGAAAAATTGAGTGACCAAGCATGCTCGGAAACAAATGCATTACAATACAATACATCACTTCTGAAGTTGTATTCTGTCTTCTGAGAATTTTTGCAACTTTAGTAACCTATTCATTTTGGAGACTGGCATGCAAAAAAAAAGATAATTCATTCTATATTCTCATCGCTTAAGAACCTTATTATCACCATCTAATGCAGCAGTAAAAATGCTTAAAGTTGGTAAAATTGCTTGATTTTATCATTAGGTCTCTGGCCAGTGTTAGACATTCCTTCATAGACTTTAGTAGCATGAAAAAGAAAGACGTTAAAAATGTTTATATAGTGGTGTCTTTCCTCCTGTTTTCCATTCCTATACTTACATCATGACATTCAGCACACTGGTCTCTCAACCAGGGGCGGACTGATAACTCATTGGGCCCCCGGGCAATAGGGGATCATGGGGCCCCTGTGTCCTTGCCCACACTCAAACCACACCCAAAACAGCCTATGAAAGGTACCAGGGGCATCTCATGGGGCTCACTACTGACCCCGGGCCCTCGGGCAGTGCCCAGAGCGCCGGAATGGTCAGTCCGCCCCTGGTCTCAACACTTATTATACGGCTATGAGTTTATCAGTAGGCATCATGGTAACTTACTGTCATCCACTATCCACTGAAGACAGAAAGTACAAGAGACAAATATTGAATACAGCAAGATGATTGGATAAGATGGGGGGGAATTTAGTAAAACTGGTGCACACAGAATATGGTGCAGCTGTGCATGGTAACCAATCAGCTTCCTGGTTTTGTTGTCAAAGCTTAATTGAACAAGCTGAAGTTAGAAGCTGATTGGTTACCATGTACAGCTGCACCAGATTCTGTGTGCACCAGTTTTACTAAATCCCCCCTAATGTTTAGGTCAATATTTAATTTAAAAGGTTTTGTTGCCATGCCGCCCTTTCCATGCTTTTCCTCTTAGGCAGGCCATAGATCATGCAAAGTTCTTTCCTGCAACCACCTGATCGATCAATCAACTTGGTACATTCAGCTTGCCCACACACAGTTCGAACCGTCTATTGCTGGCCTAAAGGTGGGAATACACTATTAGAAAATCGAGTGATCGGTCACCCGGCGACCAAGAGGCATTCGTTTGTTGGTCAAAATCATGGCCCACATCAACCAATCTAAAAAAAATTGTTCGTTGGGCAATACGTAGTGTTGATGTCTTCCGTACAAGTGGAATTGATGAAGTGTGCGTGTGACCTTGTAGCCACGCCCTTCCGGCCAAAACGAGCGTTGTACACAACAATTAACAGCAATGAGTATTATCTAGTTTATTACATGACCTATATACATAAATAGTGATACATAAAATATAATCTGCAGAATTCTAGTTTCATTATCTCATTACTACTTCAATCTACTTTTAACATTTGGATTTTTTCGTTCGTGTTTACGAAGATTCCTTGGACATAAATGTCCGGGTCATCTTCTGTTTCTGCTCATGCGTGATGACGGTTGATAGATTTTTTTTTCGTACGACTGTCATACCAACGCATAGAAAATCAGTCGTTTGTATGCAAAACGACAACATTTTTCACTGTTGTTCAACCGGATTTTTTCGTTCACAATATCGTTATCGGTTAAAACATCCTGCTCATCAGCAAAGAGAAAATCATTTGATCAGTGGTTCCTCAAAAGTTTTTGTACGATTTTCTTATCGTGTGTACAGGGCTTAAGACGAGGTTATTTATTAAATACAGTGTAGTAAACGGTGCCAAACGTTGCCTTGTGTATCATTCTCACCATTCTGGGTGTGTGCTTGCATTCATTCCAGATGAATCATCTGATAATCTAGAAAATCCTGCACAGCAAGCATGTAATACCATACATACATAATATTTAATATGCTGAATGTCAAGGTCAAAAAATGTAATGATGATTTCCATTAGTAATAGTGTGTGGTTGAAATTTCTGTGGGCGTGTTGAAATTAGTTGTAAACTCAATGGTTTTTGCCAATGTTTTTTAGATGTAAATATATGACAATATCATACAATGTAAAAAACTGTAAGGGGATGAAGTCTTACCCAGGGGCGGACTGACCATTTGGAAACTTGGGCACTGCCTGATGGCCCGGGGTCAGTAGGGGGCCCCATGAGATGCCCCTGGTACACTTCTTTTTTTTTTTTTTTTTTTTTTCCATAGGCTTTTTTGAGTTTGGGCAAGGAGACAGGGGCCCCATGATCCCCTATTGCCCGGGGGCCCCATGAGTTGTCAGTCCACCCCTGGTCTTACCTATACATTTATTTCTAATAAAGATGAATTTTCAGAAGTGTGTGTAATGTACGTATATCTATAGTGTGCATACATGGAAGTAGATGTTCATAACTGAGATGCAGCCTTTCCACCTAAGCTTCTAAAAACATAATAAGTATCAAATTCCTGACTTTCCTGACCTATCTTTACTAGATTTTTCTGCTTTCTTTTTAAGCTGCAGATACGTGTTTTATGTTGTTTTTAACTCGGTATTTATTTTACACATGAGTGTTAATGTTTCTATTGTGGGATGGATAGGACATTTTAGAGAGTATGAGCTATCAGCACAGATTGTCAAACCAATGGTTCCCAATCTTACTGAGACCATGGCCCATTAAATTCTTCCAAAATCTCCCATGCCCTAAAAAAAAAAAAAATTATATAAGTTTGCACAATAAATGTATGGGAATGCAAAACATGTATTGAAATGCTGGAAGGCTCTGGTTTGGGCTGGGTGTCACTGGGGGGAGGACTCTGCAGCAGGCTTGGTGATCCTGTAGGGTATGAGGTCTCTGGAGGGGCTAAGGGTCTCTCCAGTAGGTCTGGGGACATTGCAGGGGCACTGCGTGAGACTGAAGAGCATTGTAGGTGCTGGTAGGTACTGTGGGAGGTTGAATGGGGGAGCAGGGAGTTCAGTGTGAAACACTGTTGTTGGTAGGAGGCACTATAGGGGGGCTGGACAGTCTACAGTTGGCTGGGAAGCACTTCAGGGTGCTGGGTGGCATTGTGGGAGGTTAGGGCGCACTGAAAGAGGTTGAATACGACTGTGGTAAGTTAGGGGGCACTATTGGGGCTGAGGAGCACTCTTTGTCCTGGGAGACACTGTTTGAGGTGATGGGATCAGCACCTGGCTGGAGGCTTGGTGGGAGGGAGGCCATGGCCCGGCAACAGCCCAGTGATTGAGAACCACCCAGTCCTGCCATGCATGACTCCTGCAGACCTGTCAGTATATCTGCTTGCCCGTACATCCCGTACTGACAAGCAGATATACTAACAGGGAGAACCATAGCACCATTTTAGTTCATTGAGAACTGTAAGCCGACAGCCGCTACAGCTGTTGGGACTTCATTCATTTACAGAACTGTCATGTGGGCAGAGCCCCACGCGGCTGTGCTATTTTTACAAAGTGACAGCTTGTATGGGGAACTTCTCCCCGTACTGCTGTCCCTGCGATCAGGGAGTGGCTGCAGCATTGGGAACATGTTACATGTTCCACCCTAAAAGCAGGTGGAACATCTACCATGTTCCCAAAGGTGAACTTATCATTTAAGGTTAAGGATACTACATGATGTTTTGGGGCAAATACCAACCTCTCTCAAATGCATCTCACCTGGTATAGCAGAGCTCTGCACATCCTAAAAAGGTCCTTACCCAAAAATGAGATCTGTCAGCTTAAAACGCTTCTAAAGGTTCATTTTTTTAAAAAAAAATGACAAACATGTCTATACTTACCTGCTGTGTGTAGTGGTTTTGCACAGAGCAACCTGGATCCTCCTTTTCTTGGGTCCCCCGGAGGCTCTCCTGGCTCCTCCTGTCTGTCCGGAGCCCCCACAGCAAGCAGCTTGCTATGGGGGCACCTGCTGATCTGTGTGTCCATTCACACATGAAGCCGTAGCTTGGCCCCACCCCCCCTTTTCTCGTTGGTTCACTGCCAATGAGGAGGCAGAGACCGGGAACAGCCGAGGCTGTCATTCACATCGCTGGATCATGAGGAGGCTCAGCTAAGTATTGAGGGGGCTGGGGGAGCAGAAGGTTTTTTTTACCTTCATGCATGAAGGTAAAAAACTTCAAGCTTTTAGAATCACTTTAAGGTAAAAGAATAATTCTTGACAACAAATAAACAATACTAGCAAAGTGTGTGTCCCTTAAAGTAGAACTAAAGGCACATTTTTTATTTTACTTTGGATAGAGTAAGGGAGGGTTATAGCTCATTGCCAAATTCTTATTAGGGAGATTTCCCTTCGCTTCCTGTCCCAGAGCCAAAACAGATATTGAGAGAAAACCCTTCCAAAGTGAAAGAATATCTGCTTGTCACCAAAACGAGTGGCCCCCACCAGAAGATTTACCCTTCTGTTCCTGTTCTGGTGACATCTCAAAATTTGGGATTTTCTTTCACTTTCTCTCCTAATTGTAATTGTAAACAGGACAAATAGGGTGAATATCCCTAATAGGGGCACAGATAGCAATATAAACCTGACAGTTGTTCTAATCCCTCTCTACTCTATCCAAAATTAAATAAAAAGTTTTGCCTTTAGTTATACTTTAATGTTCCAATGTTGGCAAAATTCTGCAAAAAAACGCCTCCAATGCATTGGCCAAAATGTTCCCAACGTAAACACTCGTGGGTATGAGTGAAACAGATTGAGTGGGTATGAGTGAAACAGATTGAGTGGGTATGAGTGAAACAGATTGAGTGGGTATGAGTGAAACAGATTGAGTGGGTATGAGTGAAACAGATTGAGTGGGTATGAGTGAAATAGACTTAGTGGGTATGAGTGAAACAGATTTTTTTCTGTAGTCAAAATGCATTTGAGTCTGTTAAAGGTAACGTTTACTGAAAATTCCCTGGTCATCCATGATGCTTGTTTTATAATATCAAGACATGAACATGCTGCAGGAAGTGTGACACACATGAGCTTCTATGTGGCAAAACTCATCGACAAGTCCACCAGCAAATAAAATACCAATTCTAGGTTACAAACTGTGTTGAGGACAATTGTTGCTTTTGTTGTTTCCTGCAAACTGTATTAATTTAATCTGAATAGATAGGTGATAAACTCTGTATTGTCTGGCATTGTTTTATTTTAAATGTATGGTATGCTTTACTCCATGTAATCCTAGGTTCATCCCTGTGTTTGTGTTAAAGGAAAAATCACCAATGGAGAAAATGGAAAAAAAACAGGTAAGGCAAAATACCCATGAGACTGTTTATTATGTGGATGAGACATTTTATTTTGGTACACCTTCCTTTCAATGAATATTGCAAGAAAGAATGTAAATTATGACAAATCATTTGTAAAGTAATAGGCCAGGAGTGGTATGCGCTGCATAAGTGAAATGCCTACATGACTGGGTATGCAGGTCTAGGCTGTAGGGGTTAATTTTTGGTTTGTTTCAAAGAAAAAACAGCCTTATCTTATTGTTGAGGGGCAAGGTGTGGTCCTAGTGGTCTGTTAGGGGAGATATTGTCTCTAGGATCAGTTGGAGCAGGGACAGGGTTATACAAGCTTCTCCTGCCCTCTCTTCCCTTCACGAGTTCTGTTGGTGGTTTTGTTTTTTACTTTTTATCCCTTGTTTCTTATCTCCTCCTTGGTCACATCGTTTTGTCAGTGGTTGCGGTGTATGGTTTCCTGCCAAGTATTGTATAGCGGTGATGTCATAGCAATGGGCAGAGGTGTCAGGGTTTTTGAAGGCGGGAATGGTTACATTTTGGGAGAACAATGGGTTGGGCCCATATCAGGTATGAGTGTACCTTTCCCTACTAAGTGTTGGCAGTAATATGTTATTGGTTAGTGGGTAGTAAATTGGTAAGCAATTGTCCCTGAGTTAGTGTAATTGTGGCTGGGGGCCTTGAGATGCAAGTTGGTAGCAGATACAGCCAGTAGTTCATTCATGTGTGCCTTAGAAGATCAGTTAGTTACATTAGAGCTGTTTTTTTCGTTTATTTATAAAGAATGTAATATTATAAAAGTTGTATTGTTAATCATGGTTATTTAAGAAAAAATAAATAAAAATTAATTATCGCCGCTTAAAGCCAAATAAATATGCCGTGTTTTTCATGTTTGTTAACACTTGGGGGGGGGGGGGGGGAGGGAGGGTCATTTTGGATATGTCCACGGCTGCTTTAACTTTGGCAATAAAAAAAAAAGTGACAGGCTGGTTGCACTGAAGTCGATCGATGGATTGAATTCAGTACAATTAGCCTACCCATATATGGATCAAAAGTTGAATGGTTCCTGCTGAATTAGCCAAATTTCAATCCATATATGGCCAGCCTAAAGCCTAGTACACAAGATCAGGAAGCAATTGTATGATAATCTGGTTGTTGGTACACAGCTTTTGTCTGAAAATATTTGAAGGGACAAGCACAAAAATCTTTCTTGCACAATACCAGACCGTATGATTTTCTTTTATTCAGTACAGTTTTCATCTGAAAATACAATACAAATTTTCTTTCTGTCGTAAAAAATGTTCACTTTGATATGAGACTAGCATGCAAAAAAAAAACAAAACGATAATTCGTTCAATATTCTCATTGTGTGTACAGGGCATAAGTTAAAGTGGAGGAAGCAGGCCAATTGTCTGATCTCCTTTACCACTATTCAGTAATTATCCTGTTATCTGCAACTGAAACTTATCATACCACTATTAATGGGTTTGTTTCCACTTTCTTTTAGTAATAGGATGTTGTGTTTATATACCTTGGGTCATCTGTACTGACTAACCAGGGTTTAGTTATGATTATTTAAAGCAAGTATCTCCACACTTTGTAGAGAGAAAACAGGTGGCGCACACACCCAGTGCATTATCCAAGGTTTATTGTAAAGAGTGAAAGAATAATAAAGACATACTCACAAACGAAGCATGTATCTAAAAAGCATAGAAAAATGGCAATGGCCACAACGGCAAGATGTGTGATGAATGGAAAGTAGGAGCCTTCTCCTACTTTCCATTCATCACACATCTGCATCAGAGGCTGGTCATCAGCTCTGAGGAAAAGTATTCGTCCCCGACACGCGTCAGCCATTTGACCGCACTGACAGTGAGAACACCTTGCCTGCTGTTGTGGGCCATTGTCCTTTTTCTATGCTTTTTAGATACATGCTTCATCTGTGAGTATGTCTTTATTATTCTTTCACTCCTTACAATAAACCTTGGATAATGAACTAGGTGTGTGCACCACCAATTTTCTCTCTATCCAGTGGCTGATTTCCCCGTCTGAGGAGGGCTGCACCCCTGAAGCATTTCCTTTGGTTGTCGCTGTCCTGGTACCCTTGGCTTCCCTTTTGGCTGTGCATATCCTGAGGCGCTGGAGAGTACATACAATCTCCACACTTTGGATTAAAGGGCCACATTGCATATTTTACTAATATTCCCACTGCATCCCACTGAATTCTGAGATATAGTGGGTGAGAGAGTCAGACCCTAGCCTGCATATTCATACTGTCTCAGCCAATCCCTGGGGCTGAGGGTTGAGTGACCAGCATGGGGCTGAGGGGGAGTATAAATGGGCTGGGACGTAGAACAGCTGTCTCTTATTCTTGGGGGAGTAAGAACCAGCCTGAGGGCTGAGGCACCCCTGGGTTGCCAGCTACAGAACTGAAGAAATCCTTTTAGGGTCCGAACTCCTGTTAGAGCTTGGGGACCTCTGTCTAGAGCAGCAATGGGCAAACTGCGGCCCGTATACGGCCCGGCGGACCTTTTAATCCGGCCCGTGGAGCTAGGCTCCTCTCACAGTCCGCCCTGAAGACCGGTGCAGCATGAAAATCTGTCTCCTGTGAGGATCTGTCCCCCTCGACGTATCTGCGCATGTGCCGGAGATCGCCGATCGGCTGCTAATGCCTGAAACTGGCACGTGCGCAGATACGTCGAGGGGGACAGATCCTCATAGGAGACAGATTTTCATGCTAGACCGGAACGAAGCGGGACCACGGCGAGAGGAACGCGCGGAGCAAAGGTAAGTGAATTGACACAGGGGGGACTTGGGGACTTAATATGGGGGATGAATTAATAGGGGGGATGAATTACTATAGGGGGGATGAATTACTATGGGGGATAAATTACTATATGAGGGATGAATTACTATGGGGGGGATGAATTACTATGGGGGGGATGAATTACTATGGGGGATGAATTACTATGGGGGATGAATTACTATATGGGGGATGAATTACTGTATGGGGGATGAATTACTGTATGGGGGATGAATTACTATATGGGGGATGAATTACTATATGGGGGACGAATTACTATGGGGGATGAATTACTATATGGGGGTCTAATTACTATGCTTACTATGGGGGAATATTACTATACTTACTATGGATGACACATACACATCATTCATCTACTCTTGGTCCGGCCCCCGGTCCAATATATGAACCCATTGCGGCCCTCAAGTCAAAAAGTTTGCCCACCCCTGGTCTAGAGTATCCTGAAGCAGTGTGGGAAGCTCTACATGGGATCTAGGCGGAAGCATCAAACACAGGGCTAGCTGGTACTACCTGTATTTCAGGTATTTTAGTCTTCAGAGCACAGTGAGTACTAGCCTTAAGGATCCTAGAGACTTTCCTTGCCACCTTTGGGAGAGCTCATTACAATTTGACTCTGGACCATACTCCTGTTGGGGGGTACCTGAATGGACATTCAGTTAAACTTCACATTCAAGAGGGTAGTTACACACTGAAGGAGCAGATCAGCTTTAGTGACCGCTGTTGCATTTCTGCTAGTTCCTTTTGGAGTATCCTGAGGCTCACCCCATTCAAGTTAAACCATCAAATAAACTGCAAAAAAAGACATGCACGGCCTGTTTTCTGACTTGAGTGACTGGGAACTACCGTGTGCCTGGCTGCCATCAGAGAATGGAACCCAGGATCAAACAGCATGGTCTGGGGTCTGTACTACATATACTGTATATACATTGTTGTTGTTGTCTGGGGAGGACAAATGATTATATGGATTACCTATTTTATACTCACTATCATCATGTATGAGAATTTCATATGTGTTTGTATATTTTCATAACTGTTCAGGGAACCAGATGATAAAGCTGTCAGTGCCTGGATCCTATGAAAAGCAGATATGTGCTCCATTAAAACAGGCACAAACTCAAGAGGAAGGGATTCCATTTGTATTCCATGCCGACCGTGATGTCAGCCCTTCTCTAAATGTTTGCCTACAACGGACTCTACAATTGGGGCAGGTCAGTGAGTAGAAACTATTTTAATCAAATTTAGGTTTATCAAGGTTATCAATGCCTATTAATATATTCCTCAGTAATGTGGGGCATCCTTTGTGACATTTTGGGGGTACCATCCAAAGGAAACTGAAATTGTGATCTCACTTGCAAATTCGCCTGTGAAACCCAATTCCGCACTGAAGTCATGGCTGAGCCTGTGGAGTGTAACTTTTTATTGCAAACTGCTATCTGCTGTTTTTCCTAGACTAAGATGTTTTTTAGATTCTCAATGATGACAAGAAACATTTCTGATTATTGTAAATACTTTAAATTAGCATTGCAGGAAAATAAATGCATACTATTTGCAAAGATGATCATTTTACCACTATACACTACATTTTCTGTTTTATAAGAAAGGTGGCAAAAGGTCTAAAGATTGACGTACGTTTTTGCCAGCACTACATGAACGTCCAAAGGATTTTATTCAAAGTGATCAATTCATAGTAGAAGAGTGCAATGTTTTTGGGCCACCCTTTCATCAGGCATGTGAATGACACAAGTCTGGCTTTAGTGAGTCACCAGGACAAAGAGAGGGTAAATCTCCCTAGGCGGGACAGCAGTAAATACATGACAGAGGTTCTAATCCCCCTTAGCTCTATTGCAACTATTGCACTCCTGCTGGGCTGTGATCACTTTGAATAAAATCCTGTGGAGGTTATTTGAAGATCCATGGTGTGCTGGCAAATATGTACATTGATCTTTGACTCCAGCTGGCTGTTGCTGCAGCACCCATGATCCCTTAGTCTATTCCAGGATTGTACGAGATGGGAATATTGATATGGTTTACATCTGTGTGGTGTGAGTAATCCACACACATTAAATAGGTTACGTCGTGCATTAGCGTGCATTGCATGTAAGGCATCAAATTCATTTTGAATGGGCTTCCAACATGACTATTGCAGTTCAAAAACCGCAACTGACCACCTAACTCTTTTTCAGCAAAACATCAAATTACCATATATTGTGGTATTTTATTTTTATTTTTCATTTATTGTGTTTATTATTTAATTGGTCTGACTCTTCAGGCGCTGATTTATTACATGATTATATATTGTGGAGCACTACAGAGCAGCTGCATTGTTATAGTGGGTTGGGGTGCCATTGAAAAACAATGGCACCCCAGCGCACCAACACTTGCAATGTGCGTTACTGCACATTGCGGTAACATGCATGTTACCACAGAGCAGTAGTGTAAAAATATCCTTAAAGAAGTATCATAGGATGCATTATTAAAGTCTGGAACACAATGACCTATATTTAAAAAAAAAAAAAAAAAAAAGTTTTTTGTTTTTTTTTTGCAACACACGTTCTCTATTACAGTATCAGACAATAATTTGATATTATACTATCAAATGTTGATTTGTAAATCTTTGCTTTAAATAATTTGAAACTTTATTTCATTTATCAAGGGACACATAGTGAAGTAATTCTGAGACACTGGGGTTATGCTGCTTCGTTGAGAATGGGCACTAGCATACAAAGCTGTAAGACAGTTTAATAAAACCATCCCCACTCCCAGTTCTTCAGTTTTGAGCTGAACGTACGATTTATTTTCTCAGAGAGAAGCAAATCCATTTCTTTGTCTTCTAATACATTATCAAGATCCTTTTTCTTCTGTAAGTCTTCTACAGTTGCTGCAGAGCCAGAAGGTCTCATCTTTGCAGATTTCCAGATTGAATGCTCCTCAGCATAGCCAAGAAGGTCATACCCAATCTCAATGTAAGGAAGTAGCATTGCCAGACTGTAATGCAACCTGTGGACTAGGGGTTTTGCTGAGGCAGTCTCATAGACACTTCATGTAACTTAATGTATGAGAGTGTACTTTATCAAGGCCACAGTGTACCCATCTGGTGGAATACTGTCTCTAAAGAATTCTTAGGGAGTAGGTCCTCCAGGTGGGTAAAGGTTCTCTGGATGGGGCTTGTTTCCTTGGATCCTGCCTGGCATTGTCCAGCTCCAAACCACTGCTGAAATAAGTCAGGCCTTTGCCCTTTTGAAGTTGCCTGCTGTAGTGCTTGGTACTGTGCTCCAGTTGATAGACCATGCCCACAGTGGAGCCCCAGCCATTACACTTTCGGTCGTAGGCCAGTGGCGGGAATGGGTGCTGTGCCATCTTTTAGTTTGTTTAGTTTAACCACTTGAACTTCTTTACATGTTTTCAAAAGTATTTTTTGCTAGAAAATGTTTAGAACTCCCAAACATTATATATTTTTTTAAAGATGAGGCCCTAGAGAACAAATTAGTGGGCGTTGAAATTTTTTATGTTACACAGTATTTGCGCAGAGGTTTTTCAAGTGCTGTTTTTTTTTTTTTTTTTTTTTTTTTTTAAATTTTAATGCAACCCAATACATAACTCAATTTTTTGGTATAATATAAAGGATGTTGTTATGCCGAGTAAATGGATACCAAACACATTGTGCTGTAAAATTGTGCACACCCTTTAAAAACCTTTACAGATTACCACTTTTGATTAACAGAGAAAGTCTGGTGCTAGAATTACTGCTCATGACCTACATTCGCGGTGATACCTCACATGTGTGGGACGATTGCTGCTTGTGTGCACGTGGGCCAACACATGCGTTTGCCTTCGCACACAAGCATGGGGGGATGTTGGCACTTTATTTATTTATTTAATTTTTTTTTACACTTTTGATTTAATTTTTTTTTCTATCACTTTTACTGCGGGCAGCACAGTGGCTAAATTTTTAGCACTTCCGCCTGCCAGTACTAAGGTCGTTGGTTAAAATCCCAATCACGGCACCACCTGTCTGGAGTTTGCATGGTCTCCATGTGCCTGCATGGGTTTCCTCCGGGTACTCTGGTTTCCTCCCACACTCCAAAGACATGCTGGTAGGTTAATTGGATCCTGTCTAAATTGGCCCTAATATGTGTATGTATGAATGTAAGTTAGGGACCTTAGATTGTACACCCTTTGAGGGTTAGGGACTGATGTGAATGTATAATATGTGTATATGTGACGGCACTATATAAGTACTTGTAGTAATAATAATAATAATATTGCTGTCACAAGGAAAGTAAACATCACATGACAACAGTAGGCTTGTGACAGGTACTCTTTATAGAGAGTTTTGGGGTTAATAAGATCCGCTATCCCTCCTCTGCCCTTAAGAGCATTGGATCACACCAAGATCGATGTGATCAAATGCTTTTCATTTTAAAAAATGGTACTGTTTACATCCAGGTAAACCAGAAGTGATGTAAGATCATTGTTTCTGGTTCCCTATATCACAGAGGCAAACGGAGTGGTTCTGCTCTGTGTTCAGCTCTATGATCAGCTGGCAGAAGGGCCAACTTGTCAATCAGGTGTCCTGGTGGGACAGGCAGCCCATTAAAGCCGTGGAAGGCACCAACAGGGGATGGAGAATGTGGGGAATGTATTTAGGCTTTATTCTTTATCCTGGACACTACTCTGTCCAGGGTTTTCCTTCCATGTTTCTCACATTATTCCCCCTGCACATTCCCCAGTGACACTGGGATCTTTAACCTGGTTCTGTCGGTCATTCATAAACTGCTTTTTGAACCTATCCAGGATATTTCCCTGTCTACATTCTTTCATGAGGTTGCCACTACCTCAGTAAGGCAGGTTTCTGAGTTGTCTGCCTCAATTTGTAAAGAACAAGGATAAGTGACAGATACCAGAGGGAGCTGTCACATGGTAGCAATCTGCCAAACCTATGCACTTTAGCCATTAAATTTCCTGCCCTGAAGCTGCACAAAACAAAGGGACAAGGAAGCTGGGGAAATCATTTACTTAATATGGTCACACGTCCTGTCCTGCTCCTAAATATCCTAAGAAAAGTTTCCTCCACTGGCTAGATGTGGTACATGGTCTTCGAGTCTATCCACTGACTACAACTTCCTTTAGAAAGATTGAGTCACTTTCCTTCATTCCTGAGGGTTCCCATAGGGGATAGCCTGCCAGTCATTCCACCATCTAGTCCTATCGATTAACCTATTACTTTTGGGCATATTAATGCTTTGTTTGCTGTGTTGCCAATTCCTTGGACTGTTATTGTCCCAGTGTCTCAGAACTGCTCCGTTCTGAGTCCCATAATAAATGACTAAGAAAGCAAGATTTATGATTTATGGTAAATTCCTTCCACTGCTATTACTGGCTGTCCACAATACTGGAGCATGCTCAGAGTAAGAGGGGTTGTAGTAGGCTGTCTTAAAGCAGAACTCCACCCAAAATGGGAAGATCCTCTTTAAGGACTCGTCCACCGATCCCTGTGAAGATTTAGCACCTTTGGGGAGTGGGTACCCGCTTTTGACAGGTACCCGCTCCCACTTCTGCTCCATCCTCCTAGGTGGGCAGAAGCGGAAGTTCTCCTTAACAGGTCCCAGAAGATTGCGGGACCATTCACAATACGCAACACGCTGTCACAGCTGGGTGCCCACAGTTAAGATGCCAGCGACCGAAGACGACAGGTGAACCCAGCTAGGGTGAACACACCGCTGGATCGAGGGACAGGTGAGTGGCTGTTTTTAACAGTCAGCAGCTACAGTTTTTGTAACTGCTAACTTTTTTTTCTCAGGAGACATGAACTCCACTTTAAGCTTTGTTTGCCAGAGTCTAATCTCCTTAGCAGTATTAAACCCAATAGCAAACGTTTTTATATTGCTTCTTAGCAATTCTTAAACATGATGGCTGCATTTTTTTTTTTTCTTTTTTAGGTTTTCTTTCTTCTATTTTAATCTGGTGATCCAGCCAGAAAGTCTGTTTTTCAAAAGCTCCCCAGCAAAATGTATCAGTTTACACGGATGAAACAAGCCATTTACCAAAGGCAGGGATGGTTAAAATGATCATTTTATCTATTCATGTAAAACCTTAGTCGCAGTAAACCGTTTTTTTTCTTTTTTTGGGACAGATATAAAGTTTGAGCTGCAGTCTGGCTCAATTAGTGTGTTTAAATCTGCTAATACATTTAACACTACCCTACCCCCTACTGACAATGTTAATGTCTGCTGTGTCCAGGGGCGGACTGACCATTTGGAAACTCTGGCACTACCCGGGGTCAGTAGGGGGCCCCATGAGATGCCCCTGGTACCTTTTTCATAGGCTTTTTTGAGTTTGGGCAAGGACACAGGGGCCCCATGATCCCCTATTGCCCGGGGGCCCCATGAGTTGTCAGTCCGCCCCTGGCTGTGCCTCCTGTGCTCATTCATCCAGAAGTGTGTCTGACTAATGCAGGAGGTGTGTTACTGGCTGGATCACCAGGTGAAAACAGAGAGAAAAGGTCAAAGAAAAGAAAACTGATGCAGCCACTACATATAATGATTAATAAGCCGCAATATTTTACATTTTTGGTTTGGGGTTTAATATCGCTTTAAGGCAGCAGCATAACCCCAATGCTCAGAATTACTTCAACCTGGGTCCTTTAATAAACTCCAAAAAAAATGTTTGTCCAATAAGTCAACAATTTTTTTTTCTTTTTAGAATGATTTGGCACCAGAGCTGGACAAACAAACTCTATACTTGGGTAAAGGGTCTTTACCAATTTCAAGTCTTCCAGATGGAACAGAAATAAACGTCAATCTCCCTCTGTCTAAGGTAAGAATATCTCCAACATTTGGGAGCATATGAATAATCCCTTTTTGGCTGTAATACATACATATACTTCTCTTCTTATTTTCTAGGAACACATCATAAATATGAACATGAGGAAAGAGGAAAGGTTGGTTTTAAGAAAATGTTAATAATAATTAGTAGATGGTGGTCAAAGGTTTTCTAACATTCTGGCTACAGAACAAACTTAAATTGAATGCTACGCAGCAAGATGATTAACATTCCATATTTGTCCATCAGACAGCACATAGGTGCAAGGCATGCACTGATTTCTGATCATTACATGCCTTGCATTTCTGGCACAGTAGAACATTTGCAGGGCATGCTGCGTAGTTTGCATTGTACTGTGTTGAACCACAGTTGAAGTAGTAATTGCTCTGTACATGCAGATTTGCATTGCTGCTACACCCAACACTCTTAAAGCTGCTATTAACTGTCCATTTTGCCAGACTTTATAGCTTTCTGCAAGCATGTTTACTTTAGGCTCAAAGAAGTTATTTAACCACTTTAACCTCTTGCCGTCCGCCTGCTGTTTATAAACGGCAGGGCGGTGGCAGTCCAGGGGCGGGTTGCCGTTCCTAAACGGCACCCGCCTTTTCTAGCTGTGCTGGCTCCCTGGGAGCGCGCACCACCGCGATCCGGTGTCCGCTGTATCCTCCGGACACAGAGAAACACCGATCGTCGGACGGGACCTCTGTACGAGGTCCCGGTCATGTGATCACTGATTGGCGAATCAGTGATCACATGCAAAGTAGTAAGCAAGATGTCACTTGTGACATCATTGCTTACTACGTGTGAAATCTGTGAATGATCACAGAGGTCACATGGTACAAGGCTATTCACAACACCCTTGTACCATGTGACAAGCTGTGACCAATCACAGCTCACTCAGTATTTCTCAATGACTGCAAGAATGCAGACAGAGAGAAAGAAATGATTGCTTTTACATCCTATATGGGTGTAAAAGCAATCGGTGTAAAAAAAAAAAAAAAAATCTTCATCACCCCTCACAAGTAGTACAGTGTCACCATGGTGACACTGTACTGCTAGGGTGACAGTATGTAAAAAAAAATAATAAAAAATAATAATATAAAAAAAAAAAAAAAAAAATCAAAAAAAATGTTTAAAAATTATAATTTTTGGTTATAAACTAATTTGGATTTTTTTTTTTTTTTACTAAAAAAATAACGGAATAAATTTTGGCCAAGATTTAGGATGAAATATTATTTATTTGCAAAATTTTATTTAAAAAAACACTTTTTTTTCAAAATTTTTGGACTTTTTCATTTACATAGTAAAAAAAAAAATAAAAATCCCAGCGGTGAATAAATACCACCAAAATAAAGCTTTATCTGTCAAAAAAATGGTAAAAAATTCATATGGGTACAGTATTGCATGACCGCGCAATTGTCATTCAAAGTGTGATAGCGCTGAAAGCTGAAAATTGCCCTGGACAGGAAGGGGGTAAAAGTGTCCGGACAGGAAGTGGTTAAATCCACCATATAACAAATTTACTGCTACAAGGTGGACATTCTGTGCAAAATCATGTATATAAATGTGATTTTGCACTTCCACCTTAGGGGGCATGCACGCACCGCCAGAGTGCTGCTTCTACTGTCATTGGAAACAACAAAGACGATCAACAGGTGCCGGCCGATGGATGAGGGCTGGCATCCGTGATCACCGAGGAGACTGACAGAACACCGCTCTGCCTATGTAAACAAGGCAGAACTGTGTTCTGCCAGCAGTGATCTGCAAGATTTCCTTTCCCTGCAAAGCAGGGAATAAAATCTAGCAGATTGCCTAGTAAAAACAGCACACATGGAAGAAAAATATATTTTAAAAATATTCTTCCCAAATATATTAATATATATTTGAAATACTACAATTTTGGCTGTATTCAATATATTTCAAACATATATTCATGTTGAAAAGTGTTTTTAATATATTAAAAAATACAAAAAATACGAACAAAAATCCAGACAATCACATTGGCTGATTTGGAAAGAATTTATTTGGTCTTATATATATATATATATATATATATATATATATATATATATATATATATATATATATATATATATATATATATATATATATATATATATATATATATATATATATATATATATATATATATATATATATATATATATATATATATATATATATATAGTGGGGCAAAAAAGTATTTAGTCAGCCACCAATTGTGCAAGTTCTCCCACTTAAAAAGATGAGAGAGGCCTGTAATTGGCATCATAGGTAGACGTCAACTATGAGAGACAAAATGAGAAAAAAAATCCAGACAAATCACATTGGCTGATTTGGAAAGAATTTATTTGCAAATTATGGTGGAAAATAAGTATTTGGTCACCTACAAACAAGCAAGATTTCTGGCTCTCACAGACCTGTACCTTCTTCTTTAAGAGGCTCCTCTGTCCTGCACTCATTACCTGTATCAATGGCACCTGTTTGAACTTGTTATCAGTATAAAAGACACCTGTCCACAACCTCAAACAGTCACACTCCAAACTCCACTATGGTGAAGACCAAATAAATTCTTTCCAAATCAGCCAATGTGATTGTCTGGATTTCTTTTCTCATTTTGTCTCTCATAGTTGAGGTCTACCTATGATGCCAATTACAGGCCTCTCTCATCTTTTTAAGTGGGAGAACTTGCACAATTGGTGGCTGACTAAATACTTTTTTGCCCCAATATAAATATATATAAATATATATATATATATATATATATATATATATATATATAAAATGTTTTTTAAATATATGCCTTTAGAAAATATATTTAAATATACATTTTATAGAAGAATACATGTTAAAATAAATTAGCGTAGGTCAATATGTTCGAAATATATGTCACATATATATTTTTTATTTTTCTCTTCCATGTGGAATAGTAAACACAAAAACACTGGTAGGCACACAGTTAACCCTTTGATCTCCCTTCCCAGCCAGCGTTATTAATACAGTGACAGTGTATCTTTTTAGATGCTGTAACTTTTGCACATAATTGGGATTTTTTTTATCAATAATATGTGGCAGAATACATTTTGCCCTAAATTTTATGAAGAAATTTTATTTTTAAAATTTTTTATTGGATATATTTTTTATGGCAGAAAGTAAAAAAATATTGTCTTTTTTCATTTATAGCGCAAAATATAAAACCCAGAGTTGATCAAATACACAAAAAGAAAGCTCTATTTAAAAAAAAAATTATATAAAAAATGTATGTACAGCATTGCACGACCGCGTAATTGTCAGTTAAAGGAACACAGCACCGTCAAGTGGTTAAAGTTATGTTAAAGGATGTTTTTTTTTTTTTTTTTTTTTTTGTGTTTTTTTTTTTTTTAAATGACAAACCTGTTATACTTACCTGCTCTGTGCAATAGTTTTGCACAGAGCAGCCCTGATCTTCCTTCTCTTGGGTCCCCTGCCAGCGCTCCTGTCCCCTCCCCCCTGCGGAGTGCCCCCATAGCAAGCCGATTTCTCTGGGGGCACTCATGGATGTTTGGCATTGAGCTGGCTCTGTATGTTCATAAGACACGAATGCATTTCAGTCCCGCCCCCTGCTCTCTCTTCACTTACTGTGATTGGCAGCAGTGGGAGCCAAAAGCTCAGCTGCTGTTTCTCAGCCAATAAGAAGAGAGCGACCAGGAGAGCTGCTGCTCATGCGAGAGGTATTTGTGAGGCTGTAGGGGGAGCAGCACACAAGGTTTTTTACCTTCGTGCATAGAATGCACGAAGGTGAAAATCTTCAGCCTTTACAATCATTTTAATGCAGTAAGACCTGTATCATAAGAGCCATCTGCTGCAATTGGAGTATAAAAAAATGTGATGTCCTTCTGCTTCCAGCAGCGAATAAGTAAAGCACACTTTCTAGCACTAGGGAAGTCCTCCTGATTAGCTGCAAGTATGTAATTCTCAAACATACAAATCCAAGCAGTAAAAGGTATTGCAGGCTCACCAGGGAGTGGGAGAAAGATGCATGCTACTGTAGAGATAGAACGATCCTAACCGCTCACCGTTCTATTTGTGTGCTGTAGTCTTGAAGGCAGCGTAGTTAAAGAGCGCTTTATTAACAAATTCAGCCTTCCATAAATGAGTAATGGTAAAAAGTGTGTAGCGCTATGATATCATAAAGTTAAATATACAACCGATGAGTAAATACCTAAAGTGCCCAGTGCATCTGAAATCCAAGGAATAATGAGTGAAATAATTAATACATATTCTGAAGTGGACTGGTGTGTGAAATAAACATTAAAAATGGTAAATAAATAATAAATGTCCCAAAAAATTGTGCAAATAGTCCTTAGTGGTGGAGAATCTTATCTTGAAGTGAGGAATACAATTTTCCAATATCCCATATAAAGATGATTTGGTGACCTGTGGAAAGTGGTAAAAATGCACTCTCACCATATGCGCATTTTAAATGCTCAGTATAAGCAATATGTTGAAATCAGCCAGGGGTCCCCTTTAAGGTGGGATGGATGTGGAGCCTGGTATGGATATCTCTCCTCTGGATTCTGGGGCTTGTTATGGCCTGGTGTCACCCGGGATTCTGTAAAGTTAATAGCTCGGTGGCAGAGCCAGAAAGAAGGGTGCCCATAGTGTAGTAATATTTGGATAATTTATTGAGAAAGAAGCATGTCATCATCCATAGGAATAATATAGTTAGCACATATTGCTGCCATGAAACTGAGCAGCTGGAATCCAAAGATGGCTGCCTGACTTCCGTGATCCCGGCGGCATGACATCACAGCGTGCGGCTCCTCCTCCGAGTGTATAACTGGAAATGTAATTATCATGCTATGATTCTCAACAGCATCATGTCTTGCTTTCTGTCTTTTTTAGCAGTCCTCAGAATCTTGATATCCGCCTTGGATTTGAACTTTCACACGGGGAGAGAGACTTTCTAGAGAAGAGGAAAAAGGTTGTTTCAAAGTCCTTTAAAGAAGTCCTGCAACTTGACAGAGTCCCTGGCTCCCATGAGGTAGGGTGTTATACTTAAGTACAGGGCTTTATTTTTTTCAGAAAATAGGTGCAGGAACTCGACCACGACCCACCAAAACCCCTCCATATCCCCCCCCCCCCACACAAACATGCACACACATCCTTCAAACTGCATCATACAGTGGGTGTGTTCAAATTTCACTAACAGTGGAAGGGTCTTAAAGGGGCATTAAACACCAGGAGTGCATTACATACCGAGTACAGAGCTGGGGGGGTTGCACACAGAACGCAGAGTTTAGGGGTGCCCTGCATACAAAGTGCAGAGTTCAAGGATGCGTCACACGCAGAGTTCAGCCTTCTTCCACAGCTGCTTACCTATTGCATCTCCCACCTACATCTCACTTTCCACCTTTCAGCTCTGACCTTTGCATGCACCCCCTTCCTCCCCCTCCACTGCCCCATCTTCACCTCTCATGATTAAAATCTTCACCATCTTCCACATGCCTTACTTTTGTTGATTTTATTAAGATGAAGTAGCCATCTGGCTCTAGTACCTCCCTGCACACTGTAGGTGGCTCCGCCTCTCTCACGTGCAGGGAGATCATGCAGTGGGGGGTGTCATCTGCATCTCTCTTGTACCCATCCTGCTCTGAGTGGGAGTCGCTCAAGAGTTCCGATCTATGGGAACCATTGGGAGACAAGTTGTCACTTGTAAACACAGAAGATGGACATCTGTGTTTACAAGTGATAGTGGTAAGCAGGGAGCAGAGGACCTGGGCTAGAGGTGGTGGAACTGAGTTCCACCAAGTTCCAACTGAAAGGAAGCTCTGCTTAAGTAACATATGTTTTTCTAAGCATGCCACACCCTTCTGAGCTAACATAGTCCCTCATTCTGTTCATGTTAGTACTGTATATATTGTACTGCTGTATACCACAAACATTCCCACAGATGCATTAGATTCAAAATTAACATTGAACACACTGAGTGTGCAGAACAAACAATTGAAAGGTTACAATACAAAATGCTTTGCTCATATGTCCATGCAGTTAGAAGTGGTCTTTATAATAGACCCATTCAAGACATTGTATCTGATATGTGCAATAAAAGACTGAATTTTGTCTTCCTGCCTAAATTCTACCATTAGTCTCTGCAAATATTTCCTTATATATGGGATTTATATACAGTATGGTAAGTATTGTATGATTTCCTGCACAGATTTTGAATGCGTATCTTGATTCCCAGGTTCCCGTAATTGCAGTCCTGGGTTCTGGAGGAGGAACACGAGCAATGACCTCATTCTATGGTAGTCTACTAGGCCTTCAAGACCTGAAGCTGCTGGACAGCATCACTTACCTATCTGGTGTGTCTGGATCAACTTGGTATGATCATTACATTTAAACTATCTAGATTCTGTGATTCTAGGACAATTGTCCTGTTATAGCAGCGGTTCTCAACCTGTGGGTCACGACCATTTCCCAGGGGTCGCCTAAGACCATCGGATAACACATATTTCCGATAGTCTTAAGAACCCAGACACCGCTCCTCTATTCGTCTCCAGGCGGGTCCGCCCACATGCAAATATTCCCACATACAAGTACCCAGTGTGATGACATCATTGCGCCAACCTCATCACATACACCCCGTACAAATACAGGTGTATTTGACAGGGTTGGTGCCATAATGTACTTATGTGGACCAGTCACACATGTAAAGAGCAACTACTGGTGTAGAAAGCAGCAGTATTGGAGGTAAAACGACACTTCATGAATTAAAATTACTGGGTAAATGTAAAATCATGTACTGTAAAATAATCAACTACTGCAAAAAAAAAAAAAAATTTGTGGTTAATCACTATGCTTTAATTATGTTCAATTTGTAACAATGAAAATACATCCTGCATATCAGATATTTACATTACGATTCATAATAATAGCAAAATTACAGTCATGAAGTAGCAACGAAAATAATTTTATGGTTGGGGGTCACCACAACATGAGGAACTGTATTAAAGGGTTGCGGCATTAGGAAGGTTGAGAACCAATGTGTTATAATAATATGGTTCCTTAATGTATAATCACATTATTTGTCTCTCAAGGTGCATGTGCACACTTTATGAAGATCCTGATTGGTCACAGAAGGCTCTCCAGGGACTGGTTAGCAAGGCAAGAAGTTCTGTTACATCAACCAAATCTGGAGCGTTCTCAGCTGATCGACTCAAACATTGCACCAAAGAACTGGTAGCCATGGAGAAGGAAGGACACAAAGTCAACTTCACTGATTTGTGGGGTCTTGTCTTGGAATACTTTCTTCACCAGAAGGTTTGGAGCACAACACTCTCCTTTTACATTTGAAGAAGCTAGTATGATAATGAGACCTGTCTGTTAGGTGGTCAATCATCCAATGATCAGCACTGTAGGTGTTAAGTCCCTACAGCCCTTGGCTGTTACTTGTTAGCAACTCACCACTTCTACAAATTATTGCTTGGTATTATTACTTAAACCAGACATCACCCTTCTACAGTTTTTATTCAAGTTAAAGTGTACTTCAAGACCAAAAAATTTTGCAGTACATTTATTCAATGCATATACATTACCAATGCTTTTTCCCTAAAAAGACCCTGGAAGTACTGAAAAATACCTGTTGATTTTCCAAAAATGAACTTGTCTTTTATTACTGTTATGGGCTTAAATTTTGCAAAAATATTGTCAGCCCTTTCCCATCTTTAACTCCACAACATAGAGAGTTATTGTTTTGGAGTCCAAAAAGAGAATTAGGAGGGCAGATTGAATTTCTTGAGTTAACACAGGAAGAGTGAACAAAACACAAAACTGTTCTGAATTTTCGATAAAACCAACAGTTTTTTTTGCAGTTATTGTTTCATAAAAAACACTTTCAGTGGTATATTCATCAGAATAAAAGGGAGTAAATAAGAACATTTTATTGTTTGGGACAACATACACTTTAAATATCTGGAACAGCTCTGATACATTTCCCTCGGTGCATCCATCCATGTATCTATCCTTATCAATGTAGCCTTTCCGTAATATATGCTAACCCAACACTAATCAGATTTTTACCTTCTGAATACTAATTTGGTTTATTATTTTCAATATTCTAGGATAATTCAGCCAGACTTTCAGACCAGCAAGTGTGTGTACAGAAGGGTCAGAATCCTTACCCTATCTATGCAGGAGTCAATGTTCGAGTGAATATCAGTGGAGGAGACTTTGCAGGTTAGGCATGGAAATGTGTTGAGTGACGTGACAACAGATCAGGCATTGCAGAGGGAGTATTTGCAGACGGTTGCACGTTTACTGCTCAGCTCACTAGTTGGGAAGTTGCCCTTTTCACACTCAAATGTTCCATCTCAGATCCAGAGGCTTGTACTCATGTTTGCTTCTGTACAGAACGGCCAGTTATTTATTGGCACCAATTGGGTAGAATTATTTTTCTAACCCTACAAAATCAACAGTTGGAATCTGATTGGTTTCAGTGGACAGACATTACACATGTTCCCAAACAGGAATTCAATAAAAGAGGGCATCCCTTTATTCTGGTTGATAGACTCTTTACTTTGTCTCTGCAGGAGTCACTGAAGATGCTTTACTAAAATATTAGGAATGTTCACGCAATATATTGCCTGAATATTCACTTCAATTATCCAGTTTATGTACAGCTAGAATAAGTAAACGGGGATATTCTTTTCACATTATAGAATAATGTAAGTGAATCTTCACACATTTTAATTGAGTTTTCTCAAATCATTTAGTAAATTAGCCCAATGTTATGGTTGAATATTATGCCAACTTTTATATATATTTTTTTTTTTTTTCCAGAATGGTGTGAATTTACACCATATGAAATTGGAATTCGTAAATATGGAGCCTTCATTCGCACTGAAGACTTTGGTAGTGAGTTCTTTATGGGACATCTTATTCACAGAAGGTCAGAACCCAAAATCTGTTACTTGCAAGGTAAGAAATGTAAATCTGCTGGATTCACCTAATGTGGTAGTATACAAATGATATGCCACCTAGCATCACTGCTTTTACTCCTTTTATCTGCTTTTGGATATATAGTAGTAACCACTACAATAAACGCACACTACTTCAATAGGTTTTTCTTCTATGTCTTTTCCAAGTCATTCTAAAAATGCTTCTGATAGACTATTGATTGCTACTGTCTCTTCACAGGAGTCTGGGGCAGTGCCTTTGCTGCGAACCTGGATGAAATATGGGCTCACGCAGCTGGCACAGGTATCCTCTGGCTTAACTCTCTAACTGATGTCATCAAGGTGATAGGTAAGAGCATTAAAGCAAAATGCTGTAAATGCTTGCGGTTTATCCAAAGTTGTGAGCAAACTGCCCCAAGCTGGATTTAAAGATGATGCAGCACAGTGACTTCAAGCGTGTGACACATACATCATGATTAAGATATTCTTATTTGGAATATCAAGAAAGATGCCTTAAACATACAGCGCCAATGCCACAAAAACTCCAGGTTCAATATACCCGACAATACCTTTTACACGCCTCACTGGGCTTTTTTGTGTCATTGGCACAGTAAAGGCTTTTTACTGGCAACTTGACCATGCAGCTAATTTTTGTTCAAGTATCGTCGTATTCTGCTCTTTAAAAACAACCACACCATCTTTTTCCAGAGCAGCCTGTATTTCTCCTGAAGTTACCTGTGGGTTTTTCTTTGTATCCCAAGTAGTTCTTTTGGCAGTTGTGGCTGCAAACTTTCTTGGTCTACATGACTTTGACTTGGTATCAAGATATCCCCGAATTTCCCACTTCTTAATAGGTGATTGAACAGTACTGACTGGCATATTCAAGGCTTTGAATATATTAGTATATCCTTTTTCCATCTTTATAAAGTTCCATTATCTTGTTACGCAGGTCTTTTGACAGTTCTTTTCTGCTCTGCATGGCTAATTATCTAGCCTGCTCAGTGCATCTATGTGAGAGCTAACAAACTCATAGACTAGTTATACAGAGACACTAGTTGCATTTAAAAAGCCACAGATGTGTGAAATTAACCTTTAATTGCCTTTTTAACCCGTGTCTATCATCTTGTGTGTCTGTACCAAGGTCGAACATTCCAGGGTATATAAACGTTTGATCAGGGCCACTTAGCTGATTTCTGTTAACATTATGATTTAAAAAGGAGTAAGAAAAACTATGTGATAATAAATGGCTTCATATGATCACTAGCCTTAATAAAAAGACAGTTGTTTGGCATGATCAGTCATATTTTCAATATCAGAGCCAAAATTTAATTATTTCTGCCAGGATATGCAAAACTTTTGAGCACAACTGTATGCATCATGATAAAGCTTTGCACCCGTAAGTTTTTATGCCACATCACAAATGCATGGAATTTTTTGTATCACATAAATAATGTAATTTGCTTCACCAGTCTAAAAAAAAAAATCTTTTTCAGATGATTGTCGGAAATTTCACTGGGACCCATCCAGGCTACAGACCCGTTTGGTAATGCCAGGTGGTATAGTATCCAATATCTTCCAGGACTTCTTTAAGTCCCGATTCACTGCAGGGGAACGATATAACTTCACCAGGGGCTTGTACCTCTACAAAGAATACAAAGGAGTACGAGAATTTCTGGCTTGGAAAGGTATTTCACTGTTGTGAATCTAAAATCGACAAATACAAGGAGGGTTGCTCATTCTTACCACATGAAACAAATAGCTACAGTATGTACCATTGTTTCTCAGACCTGTGAACATGTGAGGTTCCTCATAATATACATTGCTGGAAGGACTGGAGAACAGGTTTTAGAAAGAATTAGATCAACTAATTTAAAAGCTTGGAATGTGACTGAACCAAATGATTGCATGTACTGCTTCAGGCACTGCTGTCCCCAGTACCTACTGATCTTCAAACTCTTCAGCCACTTTACAGGTGTAAAGTTCAGTACATAGAGGGTTTATGAGTGCCATTAATATTAGCAAATTGAATAGTCAAAGATAGTGACATACTGTGTATATAGACACAGATGTATATTTGTTAAATTATACCACTTGGCCTTTCACAGTCTGCTCGCTGTCTCTTGAATTTCAAGACAAAGGGCGATGCTGTCACAGCAGATGAACCAGGACTTTTCAGTAGCATTTTGCACTTGACAGATCATAAGTCAAAGGTTTTTAAGCCTCCATTCACATGCTTAAAGGTTCAGTAGCCTTTCATGGGTCAGGTCATAGGTGAAATATCTGGTCTCAGTTCTTGGAATGTATTTCACCTTTTGAAATAGAAGCCCAGTTAAATACTAAGCTTAAACCCCTTAAACATATCTCCATTCTAAGCCCCATACTAACTACCCTGTAAAGGAAAGATGTCTATACTTACCTATTTTGAAGCAGCCGGCTTTAGTGAAGAAAAGAGATCGCCAAAAATGGCTGCAATGCCTCTGGAGTGAAATCACCCATAGACTTACTATGGGGTATCCATCGTTGGCTGTCCCTCCTCTACACTGAAGCTGGCGCTGGGAACCAATCATGTGAGCAACCCGCAAACCACTCAGAATAGGCAAGTATAGACATCTTTCCTGCAGGATATTTAGAATAGGGCTTAGAGTGGCATTGGGAGCAGGTTTAAGCTTGACTTGACTTCTACTGTAACGATTGTATATTCTTGGTGGGGCCACTACTATAAGGTTTGAGGACATAAAAGCACATTTAAGCAGTGTTGAGTACTAGAAGTGGGCATAGTTACTATTTTATTTAGATAAGAGACTTTGTATTGATGTCCTCTTAAACTTACTTACTACCTGGTGCACTTAATGGTATGCCTATGCTTTCTATGTACAGTGTTTATATTACATGTATCAAACATGTTCATTTAATGAAATATCATTTAAAGCGTATGCTTTGAATTCAAGTGTAGTCTTTTTTTTTTTTTTTTTTTTTTATATGTTTTACTATGTACTGTCCCTCTTCCAGGGAATCATTTGGATGCTTTTCCCAATCAACTAACTCCTATGGAAGAGAATTTGTACCTTGTGGATGGAGGATTTTCCATCAACTCTCCTTTTCCATTAGTCTTACAGCCTGAGAGGGATGTTGATATCATATTGTCATTTAACTACTCATGGCAGGCTCCATTTGAGGTGAGTTAGTTCTCTTTCATACGGCGCCCATTGAGGCGACAAGAAAAAGTTTGACCAAAACCTGGCCGCCTACCCGAACTTTACCATTGGAGCCTGAAGGGGGTTTACACAAGCAAAACATTGCAGTTGGATCATTTTTAACTCCGGCTGCAGAGTTTGACAGGCGGCACACCCTGTCAAACTAGCCCATTAGGATCAATAGGGCCACAAAGCAACTGCGAGCCATTCACTTGGACTGCAGTTAAGGTGTGGCCCCACAATCTCAATGTAAAATTGCTCTTCAGCAAGAAAAAAAGTACAAAAGAAAAAAGTGAGGAATGGTAGTAGTGCCTCTTGAATGCCTGTCAACTGCTGCTATACCGCTATTTTCGAAAAATGATCGCCCATCGGATGGAACCCTTAGTGACAAGGATTTTGTTCTGCTTATTAATCATAGTGGAGGCAGGAATTCTTTGATTGTCTCTTACTAATTTGTGTGAACTTACAGCAATAAATGCATTCTAAACAACATAAATATATACTCTTTTCCTGTGGTCAGTATACCTTGTGATAAACATGTCTTTCTAGAAGATATAATCATGCAATATTTTAAGACGTAAATGAAACAACTGCCTTAGCTGAATATTACTTTTGAAAATCTTCTGCTGCTGCCAGACTCATCCACCTTACTAACCGTTCTGTATCTTCCACACTTCTCTGCCAATCCCTCCACTGGCTTCCCATTGCCAAACGAATAAAATTCAAAACATTAACAATAACCTATAAAGCCATTTATAACTCTGCCCCAAATTACATCACCAATCTTGTCTTCAAATATCACCCAAACCATCCTCTCCGCTCCTCCCACAACCTCCTGCTCTCTAGCTCCCTTGTCTCCTCCTCCCATCGTCATCTCCAGGACTTCTCCAGAGCCTCCCCATCCTCTGGAACTCTCTACCCCAATCTATCAAACTATCACCTACTCTGCCCACTTTTAGGCGATCTCTGAAAACCTCTATCTTCAGGGAAGCATATCCTGCCTTTAGCTAATAATGGAATCTTCTATTCCTCCTACCAGTCCATCCCCCACAGTTATTACCTTTTGTACCACCAGCCCCTTCCTCTTAGATTGTAAGCTCCAAGGAGCAGGGCCCTCCTATCCCTCTTGTATTGAACTGTATTGTTTCCCTTTATATCAGCGGTTCTCAACCTGGGGGTCGCGACCCCTTTGGGGGTCGAACGACCATTTCCCAGGGGTCGCCTAAAACCATCGGAAAACACATATTTCCGATGGTCTTAGGAACCGAGACACCGCTGCTCTGTCTCGCGATCTGTGGGCGGGATGATGTGCTGCCCCTGTAACCTGGCCACACCTCCGGGATCACTCAACAGCTCCGCCTCCTCGCCGCTGATTGGCCACCGGAACTGTAGCTCAGGAGAGGCACACAGGCGGCCAATCACCGGCGAGGAGGTGGAGCTTGGAGAGGAGGAGCCGAGCGGCAGAGCGCGCAGATCGAAGAAGATCGAGGGAGCTGCAGGACTGAGTGAAGAGGAGAGAGGCCAGAGAAGGAAGACAGCTGACAGGTAAGTGCAAATTTTGCTTCTGCAGGCTGTAGATGGGAGAGGGAGAGAGCGAGCCTAGGCTGGAGCAGGGGTCAGCAAGGTAAGTATCATTGGTGTCAGTGGGAGGAATAGTGCCCCATCATTTGTGTCACTAATACCAACGATGGGGCACTATTCCTCCCCCCACTGACACCAACGATGGGGCACTATTCCTCCCCCCACTGACACCAACGATGGGGCACTATTCCTCCCCCCACTGACACCAACGATGGGGCACTATTCCTCCCCCCACTGACACCAACGATGGGGCACTATTCCTCCCCCCACTGACACCAACGATGGGGCACTATTCCTCCCCCCACTGACACCAACGATGGGGCACTATTCCTCCCCCCACTGACACCAACGATGGGGCACTATTCCTCCCACTGCAAAATTACAGTTCTGAAGTAGCAACGAAAATAATTTTATGGTTGGGGGTCACCACAACATGAGGAACTGTATTAAGGGGTCGCGGCGTTAGAAAGGTTGAGAACCACTGCTTTATATCATAACGCACTGAGCAAACTGTTGGCGCTATATAAAGCCTGTATAATAATACAGTATTCTGATCAAAGAGCCAAAATATTTTTAAATATCATGAGTCATTTTCTGAGAATGCATATTAGGAGGACTTGTGACTTTGCCTGCTGCATGTTTGCAACAGATCACTGGCTAAAAAAGTACTGAAGTCAGATACAGTAAGGCAGACATATAGCACTTTAGAAGGGGTTAGTTATGACATAAGTTTCTCTGAGGATGTACTTCTTTTACAGCATGTCTCTCGCTGTGTTTAAAAGAAAAATAACCAAGAAAAACAAATTACACAAATCAAGCCTGCAAATAAAAGCATGAATACCTACCTGTCCTGCCAACCACATTGCTGACCTCTGGTAACATTTAGGGGGAAAAAAAAAAAAAAAAAAAAAAAAAAAAAAAACCCTTAAAAGACCCTTTAACAGCTGACAAATTTCCGGGTATGTTCAATGCACTCTGTAGATCTTTCCAAGCGCCCCTGTGTCCTATAGTGACATAAAAGCTGCTGCAAGGAACCATTTTTTTGTCACCAGGATAAACATGTTCAGTGGAAGGTTTCCACTTTATTTTTGTTCTGGTGACAACTTGAAAAGTTGGAAATCCAATATTTAAAGTTGCCATCAGAACAAGAATAAAGTGAAAACCTTCCACTGAAGCCATTTGTCCTGGTGACAACTGTCACTTTCGAGAGATGTCCTCTCACTTCTTATTATGTCTACAGGACAAGTGAAAGGAAATCTCTTGAAAGGAGCAAACATGGCAAAAGAAAAGCTGGCAGGAATTTTAACCATTCCCTTATCTAAATGAAAATAAACATGTATGCGTCAGCCTAACTTGTTTTTTTTTTTGTTTTGTTAAGATGTGCCTAAGGGGCAGTACTTACACTTAATGTAATTTAGTCCATTGTGCTGGTGCCAGCAACCATAGTTGAAATCTGAATTCCTCATACCCTGAAGGTGTAATTTTTTTGGTGCTGGATTAGTACATGTGCTCATCAAGAGTACTAGCTATGTCCACTCTTACTGCCCCCTCCTCTATTCATAGAAGCTGTACTATAGATTCCATCAATAAAAAGCACTTTATGAATGGAGGAGGTGGTTCTTTCATTCATCTGCCTGTCCTTTATTATTATACAAGATTTATATAGCGCCAACAGTTTTCTCAGCGCTTTACAATATTACGGGAGACAATACAGCAACAATACAGTTCAATACAAGAGGGCCCTGCTCCTTGGAGCTTACAATCTAAGAAGTCCTTCATTTATGAAACACTTTTCATTCATGGGAGCTATAGTACATCTTCTATAAATGGAGGGGTTGAAAAGGTAGGTATATCCTGCACTCTTGCTAAATGCCTTTGCTTGTATTACCACCACAGCACCAAAAAAATATATGGCTGCAATGAATTTCAGATTTCAACTAGGGCAGCTGTCACCAGCACAAGGAATACTTCATATTAAATGTGAGTCCCGTCCCATGTGCTATTGTTTTTTCATTAAAATGTGTTACACTTTAAATAAAACTAGGAGTGCAGTTACAGGTTTTCACCATGCATTTTAGTACAGTTGTATTATTTGTATTCCAGGTGCTGCATCTCACCAAAAAATACTGCAGGGAGAGGGGCATTGCATTTCCCTCTATTACTGTGAGTGAGCAAGACAAGCAACAGCCAAAGGAATGCTATGTCTTCATGGACAATGATAATCCGCAGTCTCCCATAGTAATTCACTTTCCATTGGTGAATGACACGTTCCGCACATATAAAGAACCGGGTAAGTGATCAGAGCTGGTATCACTTGTCTTAGCTGCTTTGTAAAAATGCAAAAATGGTGTAAATACTGTATTTTTTAAAAATATGAAGAAAAATGGTGCTCAGTATGAAATACAAAACACATAAACATACAAGCAAATAATAGATTATAACTACCCCTTAGCAAGGGTATGCTACTCCCAAGCCCTGAATCAGGCTATCCTCAGGGAATATTGCCAGCATGGGCTCATCCTATGCCCCACAGACTGCACAAATCCAAAGTAAATGGTTTTAGAAGGAAGTATTATTTAAAATTAGTTTTAGACTATTGCAGGTTTTCTCAACCAGTGTTTCATCTGGCTTCCCCATGTTGTTGCCATCATGGGACACAGTTTGCCCTGGAATGACACTGAGTTGGGCGGGCCAACTGCCAGCAGCATAACAGTCAATGACATTTCAGGGGTTGGGATGCACAGCATCACTCATTGCTATAATGATGGCGACCAGCTTACCCGCATCATGGCCTTGCATGACTCTGATCTGTCTGCTCCACCTCCTGCCCTCTAATGTACTGCTGGAACAGAAAAGTAGAGCTCTGATGTAAAGAGGTAACTGTGTAATTGGGGGGCATGTGATAGGGGGACTGTGTGATTTGGGTTTTCTGTGATGGGGGTGACTTGAGAGGGGCTTTGTGATGGAGGAACTCATGCATAAGTCAACTCTGAAGTAAAGGGGTGTTTCTGATGTGATAGGAGACTCATTTTATAGGTGGACTTTGATGTGATAGAGTCCCCCTTTCAAGCCTTTAATGTAAATGGGGACTTTGACATAATAGGGGATCTCGGATATGATGGGGGGCTTTGATGTGATGGGGGGGCCTTCTGATGTGAAATTAAAGTGGTTGTGTTCATTGTCCCAGGCTTCCCATTGCTAACTAACATTTATGGTTTTTACATTTTAGACTAGGGTACCTTGAAATTTTGCATTCTTTTAAAGGGTGTCACAAATGAAAAAAGGTTTGAGAAACGCTGGACTATTGTATGGTGCTTGTGGTAGACTCTTGTGATAGCGACAATGTAGAAGTATAAAGAATATTCTGCTTTACCACGTTAAATAGATTTTTACCTACATTTAATTAAAATTTGTTCAGTGCCACACAGTGTGTGATCCCAGTTCTAATGACTGTGGGGACCTTTTTTACATTTCTGTCTATTAAATATAATTTCTCTTGTTTCCTTTATTACAGGCACACTCCGAGGAACAGATAGTGAGATTGCCTATGGAAACTTCATACTATCAGGGAAAGATTCTCCATACCGGACGAAAAACTTTACCTATGATCCTAATGACTTTGACCGGTTGGTAGAGGTGAATAGGTACAATGTAGTAAATAACAAAGAACAGATCATGAAGGCACTCAAAGCTGCGCTGGACCGCAGGAAGCACAAAATGTGACACATGGAAAAATAGTTTGATTATGATTTGAAAACAGACAATATATATGGTTAAAGCTGAACTTCAGTCAACACTTTATTTTCACATGCAGTGGGGCTGTGCCCACACTGCATGGCTTAGGTGCTTGTTTTGTCCTGGGGCTCAGGGAAAAGCTGTACTTACCCATTATAGACACAACTCTAGTCCCTGCTTGCAAGGGTGGCTCCATAGGATGCTCCAAGTGAAAGGAACTCTGGGACAGTGATCATGGCACCACCTTAAACAGAAACATATGCAAGGTTAAATAGATGAGGAAGCTGCATACTCAGTATGGCCTGGTTCACAGTAATGTGATGCGATTTTGATCCAATTTCCAATACAATTTTTTTGTGAAGCTGCAATGCGACTTGGTGCATTTTGACGCATATTTATGTGTTTACTACTGTGACTCATACCTGAGTTTTTGGTTGCTAACCACTTGCTCTCCAGAGGATTTACCCCCCTTCCTGAGCAGGCCATTTTTTGTGTAATGTTACTTTGACAATTGCGCAGTCATGCAACGCTGCACCCGAATGAAATTTATGTCCTTATTTCCCACTAATTTAGCCTTCTTTTGGTGGTATTTGATCACTTGTGTGGTTATTTTTTGCACTAAAAGATGATTTCTAACAACAACTGTCAGAGAGTTATCTTTTAAATGAGCCTTAAGTAATGTTGGCAGCAGACAGCCCAGACCAGCAACCTAGAGCCTAACCATCTGATAGGATGCAGGCACTGTTTGGCTGCAAATTTTTCCACCATCCGGGAATTTTTTTTAACCCTTTAACTTCCCCCGGTGTATGTCACATGTCGGCAGCAGGAGGGTTTGCTCGCACTGTAGCAGCTGGAAATGTGTGTAAATATCACAAGCCAGATGGATCACTTCCACAGATCCCCTGCACCCCCTTGCCATGTTTCCCAGGGTCTGCCATCCCACATGTGGGTCTAGGACTTCCATGGGAGGTGTTGCAGAGTATAGGGGAAGTAGATCAGTAAATGGACATTTGCTGATCTCCCCAAGCCAGTGGGAACCTGGAAGTGATGAGGATTTTGTCATTTCAGGTATTTACCATCACTGACCTTGGCCGCTAAGACCAGATGATAATAGAGCACGATCTGTATTAGCTTCAGTGGAGTGCACGGAGACATCTAAGAGACCCCTGATGTCTCATTAAGGAGAACCTGTCACTCTAAATATGCCATCAGCGGCTATTGGTCCCTTATGTGATAGCAATAAAGTTAAGTAAAAATAAGTGCAAAACATAAAATGCACACCCAAGTACTGAAAACTCACCCTCCTAAAAAAAAATGTTGAAATATCTTTCAGAATTGATGGTGCCTTTCCAGATGTGCACTAATGCTTCCCCATACTCTCAGAGATGCAGGCTATTGAACGGAATGCTGATAACAAGCTAGAACATTCCTGCCCTCTTTAGTCCAAAGGATGCAGTGCCTATGGTTGCCAAAAAGAATGTCAAAATTTGATTCATCTGCCCACAGAATAGTTTTCCACTTTACAAGCACATAGCCAGTCTGTGAGAGCCAGAATTATTGTTAGTTGGTAGGGGATCAAATAATACTTATTTTACTCACTGAACAGCAACTCAATTTAAAACATTTGTATCATGATTTTCTGGATTTTTGGTTAATCTGTCTCTATCATTTAATATACACCTATGATAAAAAATATAAACCCTTCATTTCGTTGTAAGTGGGCAAACTTACAAAATCTGCAAGGGATCAAATAATTATTTTCCACACTGTAGTTGTTAGTAGAGCTGAAAAATATTGTACAATCAGAGTGTAATGTGTATGATAAGCTTTAACTTAACCCACCCTACATAATAGGAAGACACATCTGAACAATCCATTATATTTGTATCAAATCAGGCAGACCCTTACACAAAGTGTTAATGGTAGATCTACAGGAGATTGTACAATCAAATTCATAAAACAGTAAAAGGAGATGATCATAGCAGTGGCTGTTGATTTGCACATCAGAGGTTGTGTGCCTAGAGCAGCCTCTCCCAGGTGTTTTAACATGGAGGAATGGGTTGAAATAACTTTCTGGTCTCAAGGAATCATTGGTAACAATGACTGTCTACAACTTCCTGTACGTAATTCTGACGGTCAGTGGGAGGCATTTTCCTTGTATTTGTTGTCAATGGGAACAATCCCCTTACATACACAGTAACTAAAATGATTATTGTGTCAATGAGAATTTATCTAAGAAGGTGAAACTGCTCCCTGCTCAAACCCATAGCAACCTCTAGAGGAGCCCTGTTTTAGAAAACCTGTCTAGAGGCTTTAGCAAGTGAATCTATCCTTCCAGGCAGCCTTATTTTCTATTTGCCCACTTAAATGAGACAGGGCTCATTCCTTAGGCATGCTAATACTCTTAGGCTACGTTCACACTTGAAGGTTGTGTCCCCTGTAGCAAACCACCTGTCATACAGAAAATGACATGTGCTACTTTTCAGGCAGATTTGAGAGTTTTTGTCCCCATGGGCTTGAATGGAAAGCACCTGAACAGCAAGAATTGAGCATTTTTTGATGGCTTTTATTTTCAGCACAAACAGCAGCTCCCTTCCCCTTTTCAAGCATTACTCCACACCTTATAAACACATCTTTTGATCAAAAAGGAGGAAAGCCTGCTTCTGGAAGCTGAGACATTTATTGCTCCTATTCATGGCCACTCCTGGATCTATGATCCCAGGGAACCTTCTTATAAGAGCCAGGCAAAAACCACCAGCGACACAGAGGAAATGGGACAAAACTTGCTGCTCCAGTGGAACAGCTAAACTGCTCCCCAGACCAAAAGGAGAAAGGTACAGAACATCTGTGTACATCAGCCATGTTCTTGATTCTGGTTTTCCTGTTGTATGTGCCTAGGACACATCTACACGGGTTTCTATTTGCCACAACAAAAATGCCTATATTTGCAAATCTGCAAAAAAAAAAAAAAAAACATGTTCAAAACCACTCAGCTCAGTGTAAATATAGTCTCAGCTACCAGGGCTTCACTTGTCCTTGCCCTGATTTTCTAGTCTCTCTTCAGGGAGAACCTTCCCTTCATAGCCAGACTATTCCTGAAGAATCCTGTTCAGACAGCCTGCTTACCTATATATGTTTTATTAGCTGGCATCAGGTTCCCAGATGCAGTTTTCGGTAAATCTGCTTCTCCCTATAGTGAGAAGTCTAGGACATAGCTACTCTTTTTTTCCCCATTTTGTTTTCTTCCTTAGTTCTCCAAAATTCACACGGTTAGTGGTTTTGTCTTCACATTTCCTCCAACGCTCATGTGGCATCTACCCTCCTTATGTCTTATTCATTCATCCTTTCTCTATATAGTATTCTCCCATTCCTTCAAGCTTTTGTAGGTTATGAACCATTTCATGTTCTGGATTTTCTACACTGCTTTACTTTTCTATCTCAGCTGTTCTTTCCACTGCATCTCAGCCATCCTTCTCATATCTAGACTTGGTTCTCAATGCTGTGACCCCAAACTTGTGCAGCTTTAAGGCAGGCAATAGACGGGTCATTTATCGAACAAATTTTTGGCCGATAAACAAAAAAAAAAAATCGGTTGTTGCTGACAGCGATGCTGCCACCACTGTCCACGAAAAATGGCTTGTTGTGGATTTTCAAAGATGACTGATAAAAATAAAGATCTGCAAAAAACGGTCGACGGGCTGGCCCCACTAACGGCGTGATTATCGGCAGATTTTTCGTGTGGACGAAAATTCGGCCGATAAACGACCAGTCTATGGCCTGCATAATTGAGACTTGATAGGACTTCAATTAGACTTTGGCAAATCACAACAATAGAGTATGAACTTGCAAAACCCTGTACGTTGCAGCTAAAAGGCACAAAGGTCAACCAAACCACTGACTTTTATGATTTTAACATTGCAGTCTATGGCACTCATGTCACAAGCAAGATGCAGAAAAGTAGTGCAGGAACAATGTTTTTGTCAATGCGACTTAAGTTGCAGCAATTAAGACAGCACTCATTAAAAATGAACATGTTTTAACTTATGTGACTTTGTGCCAGAAGTGCGAACAAGGGTTCAGGCACACTGGGGGAGATTTACTAAAGCTGGTTCACTCAGAATATCATGCACCTGTGCATGGTAGCCAAACAGCTTCCAACCTCGGCTTGTTCAATTAGGCTTTAGCAATTAAATATGGAAGCGGATTGGTTTCCATGCAGAAGTGCATGAAATTCCAAGTGAACCAGCTTTAGTAAATAAACCCCACTGATTTATTGTAGGACATACAGAAATACATTGTTGCTCTGTGTCTCCTGCCAATATACATAATCAAGGATTAATACATCAGACCTTAAAACAGTATATAACCCAAAAACAAACATGTATTATATTGCAGCTTACCAATTCTTACATATGTTGGCTGTATCAGTTACCTTTTTTAGGTGGCCATCTATTTTTATCTGGTAAATCTAGCCAGCAAGTCTGTTTTTCAAAAAGAAAGCTCTTGCAGTTAGTTATGAGACAGACCATTTAATACTGACAGGGATGATTAAAATGATCAGCTTTTATGCAAAACCTTTACCCCAAAAAGGAAAAACTGTTTGCTGTAACTGATTATGAAGTATTAGGTGGAGTTCAGCTTAAATGTTGTTGCTATACTTAAATCTGCTAGTACTTCTAACACTCCCATCCCCCCACACTGACAATGCTGCTGTCCAAATATCCAGAGTGGTATCTATATGCAGGAGGTGTGTTACAGGCAAGAGCACTAGGGGATAATTAGGGGATGAATACAGC